GTGTTTAGCTTGCAGGTAGCCAAGAGTAATCTTGAAGGCAACTAATCTTAGTTTAGTCTCTGTGTGCTGAGGAACCAAGGCAATGTATCACAGCTTTATTTTGTAGGTTTTTAAAGCCATAAATTAGTTTCTTTATAAAACCCTCTGTAAAGGTGTAAAAGAAAAGGAAATTATAACCCATTTTTTCAACCTGTCTGACAAGTACAAGCTACTAGATTTCAACCCTTAATTGAATTTTTGGCACCTTCCTACGCCGAGTCCAGGTCTTGCTGTTTCAAAATCCGTGGTACCTCATGTCTGTGAACTCAGTTGGAGTTTGTTGATAGGATATCTCAAAATATCTCAGCTTACAGAGAGCGCCTGCCCCTTCTGCATTTTACTGGAACCGAATAGTTCAGAGTTTGTGGGAGTGAGGGGGCGAATTTGTTCTGCTTCCTCTTAGTCATCCCAGCCTTATGCTGGGGAAAGGCAAGAGCTGGAGAAGCAGTCCTGTATTTATCAGATGAATGTTTTTCTTCAGCCATCAGAAGAATGGGTGTCCCTTGTGCCCATGCACATCTGGGCTGGTCCCAGGGCAGGTGAGCAGCAGCCCTGAGCTGGTTGTGGCCACTTGGGGAAATGTGCTGGGCTGAGTTTTGGGGCTGGTGATATCTTTGTAGGTGTTTTCTGAAATGTTGAATTAAAAAGTTTCCTGGAAATTGAACCAGGTGTGACCTCAATGCCAGTACCTGTTGAAGGTGGAGATCTGGAATTTTGTTTGTTTTAGTGTTCCATCACTGCTTTTTTTCCCTGAGAACAGTTGCAAGCCAGAACAAAACTGATATTCTCTGACAAACCTCTGTAGCAAGTGAGGATTTGTGATACACAACCGATTTTCTAGAAGAGGCTGTAGCAAGGAGAAATTGTTTGTGCTGATTCCTTGATTACCTGTTAGGAGAGGGGTGTTCATGCAACAATTGATGAAATCAAACAAAACTCAGAATGTATCTGACACACCCTCAAATGAGAAGTCATACCTTTGGCCATAATTACCGTGTGGCTGAGGAGTGAAAGCATTTTTTACAGTTTTTTTTTTTTTTTATTCTTATATTTAGCCAGTGAAAGCAAAATGTACACAGTAACATTTGAAACTGATGATTGTTGATTTTTAGACATTGTTCAGTGGGGACATTGACTCCTTTCCCAGTGCTGCAGGATTATTTAACCAGATTGCATTGATGCAGATCAGCAGTGACAGACTGTTCTGGGGATGTCTGAGGAAGACAGAAGAGACTGAGTAAAATTTTGATGATACTCCCAAGGACTGTTTAAGTTCCTGGATGTGCATTACATAATGTTCAGCTTCATTTCCTTCACTTGAAGTGTGTTTGTGAGTAGGGTCCAGGCAATTTAAAGATGCTCTCAGTGCTGCTGCAGTGACAATCCAGGGTGTGGGCTCTGACTGGACGGGGATGCTGAGAAGGAAGATGCTGAGAAGGAAGGTGCTGAGAAGGAAGATGCTGCTCCAGAATCTGTCCCAGCTCTTGGTGGGACCCAGCCCTCCTGCCTGAGGAAGCACAGACCCCAAAGTAATCCAGCCTGCAGCCAGGCAGGATCAGAGGAGCAGGAACTGCTCTGGCTGGAATGATAATTAAGAGCTGGATTCCCAGTTGTCAGCAGAGCAGTGTGAGCATGAGCCAGAAGTGTGAGAGGAATTGAACTGAGGAATTTACCACGGACGTTTCCCATTAGATGGATGAGATGAGACCATTTTCACACTAGCTGGCAAGGATTGATCCTGTGGTGTTTTACAGCCTCCTCCTCACTGACCAGCACCTACAGATCTTTAGTTTGCTTTAAGCACCTTCCCTTGCATTGGACTCATTCATTTATTTTTGTTTTTTTTCACTTTGGAGAGCATTGCCAGCAAAGGAGCTGATAAATTCTCTGCCTCTATGCATGTGTTCATTCCTGCCTCCCTATCTTCCTTTCCCCTTGGTGATATGAGGAACTTCACTGTAAACTTCATTAGAAAGCCTCTCTAGACTAAAATGATCTGGAAGGGCTGGGGAGGAAATCAAAATTGTTTGGGTTTAATTCATTCCTACTGGGAACTTCTATCCTGCACAGTTCAGCCTCTTGTGTTGCCATCAGTGGGATTTGGCTTGTAGTTAAAAACATAAGTTTGGTACTTTGTCTTGTTAAGAGCATTTCAGTATAAATTTTATTTGTCTCCATCTATTTTCTGTCCAACGAAATAATGAAAAGTAATATAACATAATTGCCTCACATGAGGAGCTTTTGGTGAGTGGTCACAAAGAAATATGATTTTGATTTGTATGTAATGTTGGGGTTCCAGCATTGTCTAATAACAAGTATTTTATTACCTTTCAGACAGTCTGACCTGCATGTTAAACACTTAATTAAGATGTATAAATTTCTCCCCTCCTTCCCCTGTGCAATTATTTAAGCCTGTCTGGCAGTAGTACACAGGACAGAGATCAGTGATGGAGTGCTGAGCAGCTGCCTCTGCAACTGCAAGGCTGGGGAACTTCCCTTTCTGAAAACTGCAGATTATTTCACATCTGTTTTAACCACGTCAGGTCTCCAAGTGAGCTCAAGCTGCTCTTGATCCAGGAGTGGAAAGCTTCAGCTCTCTGTGTAATTGCATCCACACTGAGCTGCACAACTTGTTTGTATAGATTAGAGTGGGAGAGCTCCCAAATTTGGGCTCATCCTCAACAAAAGCAAGATGAGCTCCTGCTTATCTATTCCTGAGTGCCGTTTTTGGTGCCGCTGTAGACCTGTGTGAGGGAGCTTTGTTAAGCTTTTCTTGCCTTGTGCAGCTTTTAGGATAAGAGAATAATACCTGTGCTCAGTCTATCACGGTGATGTGCTGGCTCAAGTTTTATGTAACTCTGGCAGGGGCATGCTCCAGGGCTTTTAAATAAAGAAATCTACAATGCCCATGATCACCGAGAAATCCAGTTATTTTCTAAAGCAGAAACCCTAATATCCTTAAGTCAATAATTTATAAATGGATAGGTAAAAAAAAAAAAAAAAAAAAAAAGTACTGCTATTAAGCAGTTTTGTTGGGGAAGTTTGCGGTGTGTTGATAATGTTTGGGGTTATAAATAGTGTCTCAGTGTTCCTGAAATAAATTATGATGGTCAGACTGGTGTTTTGTGCTGGGTAGTTCTCTCAGTGCCCTGGAACATACAGGCAGAAGGATTAAAGCTGATGCTTTAGGCTTCTGTGACTTTTCTGTGCTGTTCCTAAATAGAGTAAGAACCTTCAGTGGACATTTTTGCTGTCTTGCTAAGAATCAGAGGAAGACTGATCAAGTAATACACAGAAGTGAAGTGATGCCACCACAGATAATTTATTGGAAATTTAGGAAGGGGAATTTCTTACATATGTGGAATGGAGATGAGGGGCAGGGGAGAGGCAAGGCTCTCCTTTTCCCCTGAACCATGTGGCATTGCTGCACTGGCTCATCTCTTCAATTTTCTCAGTTCAGGACTGAACAAAAGGCTGATGGAGGCTGGGGGACAGGAGGAATCTTAACTAGTGCTGGCACCAGTGGCTGCCAAGGCACGTGTGTGTACCCTGTTGTTCTTTGTATTTTCTCAGCTATAAAATGCGAGTAATAACACTTAAATTATGGATCATTCAGCGCCGTGTGAGTGAATTAGATAATGCTACATAGGCCTTTGAAGATGAAATGCAGAATATAAATGTTGTATAAAGCTCACTTTGTGCCATGTCTATAAAACCTGGTAATGCAGCCCCAGGATTGCTGGGAAGCATAAGGAGAGGCACTTGGGCTGGCTGCATGCAAATTGATTCGGTGGAGCAGCAGCATTCACACAAATCTGGGCTGCGCTGACGAGCCCTGCAGCCTGGCACAACAACTTGTAAACACTTGTGGGTAAAGCTCTGAGCCTTGTCCTGTCCAGCCTCCTGCTTCAGGAGGATTTGCTCTGCCGTGCCTTGGAGGCAGAGTGGCAGAGGGAAGGAGTTGGAACGGGAGCTCTGGTGGTTGCTGTTTCTCACCCAAGGCTTGCAGCAGTAGTGGGTCGCATGCCAAGGTAGCACGGAGTTTAAAGGGAAATAAAAATGGAAGGATGGAGTTACACATTCCCTGCTCCAGGAGCTGGAATTTTACTATCAGTAGCTGTGTGAGCTAAACTGGGGTAGAGTGAGAACTGTTGCTTACCCCAGAGCATTTCAGAAAAGCTTGGGGGATGGATTAGTCAGAAGCATCACCCTTTTTTAAATTTAGTTTCCTTCCTTGTTCCCACTGTTGGATCTTTCTCGCTGTACAGTACCTTTATCCTCTGAGTGGGGGTTGACTCCCAGCTAGCAGAGCTACCCAACTTCTCACTGTTATTTACTAACAAAAGGGGGTTTATTTGGTAACTAAGGCATGATTGATTTTTTTTTTTCTTTCAAAGAATTTTTGGCTGCTTGCCACATGTTTTGCAACTGAGCAACATCACGGAACAGTAACTTTGTCACGGGTGTCAGCAAGCTCTCTCACAGTGTTTGAAAAAGTTTTACCTGTTGGGGGCTTCAAGTGACTTAGATAAATGAGTTCCATGTTACTAGAAGATCAAATTAAAGAAATAGCAGATTTCTGGGTCTTCTTGGTGAAAAAGTGCAGAAACACAAACCAGTTCCAGGTCAGCACTGCTAAATAACCCCAGTTCCAAAGGGAAGGAGGGAGGGGGTTGCTGTCTTTGGGGTCTTTTCTGTAGAAGCTCTGAGTGTTTTGTTGGTCTGGGGCTGGAAGATTTCACAAACATACCATTACATAAGGGAGGAGGTTGCTTTTGTGTGAAAATACATCGTAACTTCTGTTTTAATAGTGTCTCCTCCGAGTAACTGCATTGTGTGTTGAACTCTAGGCATGTTCTTTCCCCACAGATTTAAGACTAAAAAGTTGACTGTTTTTCCTTCTCTCAAGTTGAATTTTATATTATCCAGCAATCTCATTTTGTCTCAAATTTACCTTGCAGACCTTAAAATCTCAAGCCATGTATTTCCTTGGACTGCTGTCTCTGCTGGCTTTGCAAAGCGAAGCCTTCAAGACCAATATTCCTGATGAAACCATTGCTGAGCTGTCTGTGAACGTTTACAACCAGCTGCGAGCCACCAGGGAGGATGAGAACATCCTGTTCTCCCCTCTGAGCATTGCCATAGCCATGGGCATGGTGGAGCTGGGAGCCCATGGAACCACCTTGAAGGAAATCCGGCATTCCATGGGCTTTGACAGCTTGAAAAACGGTGAGGCCTTTTCATCATCTCTTACCTTTTGTCTTAGAAAAAAACAGGAGCAAGGGTGGGAACAGCCTACTGATGTCCATGGGTTATAAATCACTGGATTTCTTGGTGGCTTTGATGGGCAGGCTCAAAAGTGTGGGTTCTGCATGAGCTGAGAGGAGCTGACATAAAAACCCTGGCTGGGGTACCTGAACCTTCAAAAACTGCAGCTCATCTTGGTTTCTGCTCCAAAATAAGCTTGCCTTGGCCTCTAGAAAGAGAAGATTTTTAGGAACATCCTTTTGAGGGATTATAGTGAAAGCTGGTAAGGAAAGCAGTAGTTTCAGCAAAATTGCTTCTATTGATATCCAAGTAACTGCTTTGAAACCTGAATAAAATTTCTTACTTGTGCCATGTGCTGGACTTTGGAGTCTTCAGTGAAAGGATTTTGGGGAGGAATTTCTGAACACAGACGTCAAGCTGTGTTTGTCAGAGCCACTGCAGAGCTGATGGCTCTCTGTGGAGGCTGCAGCACCAATTGAGTTCTACATTTTGTCTCTAAAACAATAATCAATTATCCCTCAGCTGTAATGGAGGGAGTTGTGCAGTTGGTTTTTCCTGGGCTGCTCACTATTCTAGGATATGAGTGGCATTCAGTGAAAGTGTTCCCATGATTTCTGCTTGAAATACATCATTGCCATCAGTTTTAAGGTTTATTTTGTTGGGTTTTAAATTAAAAATTTCACCTTTAGGCATATGATGCAGCTTCCTATTTTAAAGCAGACTGCTTTAATCCTGTTCAGGATTCCTCATTACCTGCCAAGGATGCTGTACTGCCCCACTAAGGATCCTGGGAAATTCTAGACCTTCTTTTGGCATAGAAGAGGCTGTGGAGGCCCTTAGTTTTGAGATTTGAAGTTCATTTTTCATTAAACAACTTGCATTTAAGATGGAACAAAAGTTCTGTTAAGAATTTCTGGTGGGAAGATTTAGAAATGGAACCTGTAAGAAGAATTTTTTTTATTGCTCTTTTGGTGTAGAAAAGATTTCCATTGATAGCTTTGCTTCTGATGGGACTAAAATGTGTCATTAATTAGACTAATTATACCTAGTAGAAAAAACAGGCTCTAAGTAATATGATCTTGGAAATTATTCCTTCAGATCTGAAGGTGTGTGTAGGTTTAGGAACAAGTTTGTTTAAAAAAGATGGCTTTCCTCTGCATCAAACATTTTGGTGAGTTTTCAGCAGAAAAGCCAAGGAATAATTTTCCTTTCTGAACCACTGAAGGTGCTTTTTCCTTCCCCAGGTGAAGAGTTTGCCTTCCTGAAGGAGCTTTCTGACATGGCAACTGCTGAAGAAAGTCACTACGTGCTGGACATCGCCAACTCCCTCTACGTGCAGAATGGGTTCCATGTCAGTGACAAATTCCTGCAGCTGGTGAAAAAATACTTTAAAGCTGAAGTAGAGAATGTAGATTTCAGCCAAAGTGCAGCTGTTGCTACTCAGATCAATAAATGGGTGGAAAATCACACAAATAGTAAGTGCATGTGATCCTTTTTGCACTTCCAGAAGGAAGTGTTTCTGCTTCCAGACTTGTGCAGTGGTGTTGGGTTGGTGCTTTGGCTTTTATCTGTTCTGTCTGAGACTCAAGTGTCTCCTCCCAGGAGAAGAATTCTAGTATTTCTATTTTTTCCTGTGTAGGAATGATCTGTCATAAGTAATATTAGTCATTGTTAATCATGTGGCAGCTATTTGAATATTTGTTCTCTGGTCTTACCATCTGTAACATTTATTGAATGAGACTGTTTTAATGGTAGGCATTTTAATAGTATTTTAATTTTTTTTTTTGCAAAAGTATTATTGCTAGTGGCAGAAAAGTTGCCTGCAGAGGGGTTATTGGCTTGTGCTTTGGATATGTGGAGTATCACTCCTTCTCTGAGGAGCTCATACTCACAAGGTACTGAGAAATAGAATGGTGGGGAATAAAAAGCTAATTTTGAACCACAAAATCAGAGTGTATAATGTAATATTTTGCAGTGTGAGGAAACGAGATAGCATGTTGAGAGGGTAGTTGATTTTAGGAACGCTGTCAACAGTTTCACAACACAAATTTGCAGCAGGGGAGTTAAGCACAAAATTACTGTTGTAAATATGCACATTGAGAGCTGCAGGATGCTGCTTGGCTTGGCAGCTCCCAGAGAGGTGGCATTTCCTGGATCCATGCAGAGTCCCAATATCTGGGAGTCTCCTGGTGTGGGGATCAAAGCATGTTCTCATTCTGCTTCCCCGGCCCACTCTGAAGGTTGAGATTTTGGGAATAATTCAGGGAGGTCTGGCTCTGACACAGTTGTACCATTGGGAATTTGGAGGGATTGGAATCACCTGGAAGGAATTAACACATCCCCATGAAGTCTGAGCACTTAATCCATAATTCCTTTTGGAAAAGCACAGCTCCAAAGTGGAAAAGCACCTTCTGTAATGCTTTTATTCCCTTTTGAAAATGGTCTGGTTTGTTCCAAGGAAACACAGCAGCCATTCTGTTCCTAACAAACTGCCCTTTCTCTCAGGCTGCAGAAATAGCTGGGTGGAAGTGATGCAGCAGATTGCAGAGGGTTTCCATGGATGTGGTGTCTGTCGGAGGGAGAAGGAAAAGCAGGGCCCACCAGGGCAGCTGGGGGGCTCTTGGTATCAGGTTGGGATGGTTCCAGTCCCTCAGCTGGTCCCCTTCTCTCTGATTTCCCCCTTGGGAAAGGGGCACAGCACAGGCAGGCTTCAGTTCCAGCCTGTTCAGCATGTTGGGAGGCTCAGAGCAGAAAACAGAACCATCAAAGGTTCCTCTGGGCAGGAAAATTCTGAACATTTCATTAATGTATTAACAAGATGTGGCTGGAAAAACAAATATGAGTACCAAATAGAAATTTGGAAATGTTTTCCTTCTTAGTTTTCCTTTTGTTTTTTCTCCAACTCCAAGTGAGTATTGGTCACACCTCCCTCCTTAGAACATTGGAGATAAAATGAAATACAAACAGCAACCCGGAAGAAATCCAGCCCTGTGATACACAAATTTCACACCAGTTAGTCAGGATCATATGCTCCAGAAAGCAGAATTAATTTGTTTTTTAAACCATGGATTAAGGAGTAATAATCAGATGGAGGAATATGTTTATTTTAACACTTTGCATTGCAATGTCAGCTAAAAATAGAAATGAGCAAGAAAGCAATCTGAAGGAGGCTGTAATTCCTGAAGAACAATGACAGATCTGGTCAGTGCACCCAGTTTATCAAACTGGGAATGATTTTGGTGAAATACAAGGCGTTTGAGATGAGCTACAGCAGGTACCAGACTGCATTCTGATGTAAATGACTTATTCAGGAATAGGAGCAAAGCAGCTGCCATGCTCAGCTGCTGTACCTCCCATGAATAGAGCAGATGCTAGATGGTTTTCCTCTTTTGCTTTTCAAGAGCTAATGCCACTGGAACAAATGCTGGGAATTTATGTGGATTTTTGGTGCTTAGTCCTGGCTTTGAATTCAACAGAAGATCACTGAAACTACTTCAGAACTGGCCCAGGTGAAGCTGCAATGGGTGCTCTTAGCCCCTTTAAAACAAGCACCCATTTAAGTGCTTCTTTGGATTGGAACCAAAGTTTGTACAAGTCCTGGCCTTAAGATGGAAGTGCTGAACTGTTTCATAGCAGCAGGGTGAACATTCCAAATGTGACCCTTTCTCCACGTGGCTTCCTTGTAGGGTATATTTAGTAGTGATCAAGAAACAGTTGCCTAACACGTCCTTGATGGAAGGGTTTACACACCTACACTGTGATTTAGGTTTACAAAACACTGGCACTTTAATTGGAGATTTAATGAAACATCTGAATTGGAAATTACATGTTAACACTGCTTTTTATTTTCTTGCATTTTTCAAGCTGCCTTAAGTTTGGATTTAATGCTCACTTTGACATGCAGACTGACAACTGGGTTTCTTTTTAGGTATGATCAAAGATTTTGTGTCTTCAAGAGACTTTGGTGCTCTAACTCATTTGGCTCTCATCAATGCAATCTACTTTAAAGGCAACTGGAAGTCACAGTTCAGGCCTGAAAATACCAGAACTTTTTCTTTCACTAAAGATGATGAAAGTGAAGTGCAAATTCCAATGATGTACCAGCAGGGAGAGTTCTACTATGGTGAGTTAGACCTTTAGCAATTTAGAGCTACTAAATCTTCACTTAATGAGTTTGTTGCAGTAATATCCATTTGTATTGTTGTCTTTTCTCCCACCTAGAATTTTTAATGTGCTGTTTGCCCAAAGAAGGGACTCAGAGTTTGTTTTTTTCCCCCTAATGTGTGTATTATAACTGGTACCACCAACATTTATAATGACTTGCTTGGTGCCACAGGGTGGATTTCAGAATGTTTATCCGTTGGATTTCATTTCTTTGCAATTCTTGAGCTAGTTCTGCTTATCACAAAAATATTTTTCTTGTGCTGTGCTAAACATTCAAATGAGTAATGTTTGCTCTTTACTGTTGGACTGGTATAATAGAGGTTCTTTGAACTGCAGAACTAATGATCATTTTTAGTTGGAGCTTGAGCTCCAAGTGGGTTCTAAAATGTCTGGCAGCATTTTGCTCAATCTCATCACTGAAAAATCCTCTCTCCTGAATAAAATCTCTGCCCATTTCCCTGAAAGTCTCAGCAGCCTTAAATTTTAGGCTCTTCTCTGCCTAACCACTGAAAGTTATGTCCCAGAAGTGTGATTATCTACAAACAGTGTGATAGCTTGAGCTTGTATTCTTTAAGAAATCAAATGTAAGCCTGAAATTCTGTGATGAAGAAACCAATTTTATATAAAATTTTATATACAATGAAGAGGGTCATTTTAAGTTCAGTATCTAGTAAATACACTAAAGACAAAATAGTTCTAACCAGGTTTTTGTTGTTTTCCTCCTCTAGGAGAGTTCAGTGATGGCTCCAATGAAGCAGGAGGGATCTACCAGGTCCTGGAAATCCCCTACGAGGGGGATGAGATCAGCATGATGATTGTCCTTTCCAGGCAGGAGGTCCCCCTGGCCACACTGGAGCCACTGGTCAAGGCCTCCTTGATTAATGAATGGGCTAACTCTGTGAAGAAGCAAAAAGTGGAGGTGTATTTGCCAAGGTGAGAGCGTGCTCCCAGGTCATGGAAGGGGGAATTGCATCCCCATTGATGGAGGAGCAGGGTAGGGAGCCCTTGAACTGTCCTGCTCAAGCCTGGAGTGCTGCAGCAGCCACAGGAGGGTGGGCCTGGGGATGCAGTGCAGGGTGAGGGTTGTTTCAGCAGTTGCATCCCTTTCAGAGAGAGGAGAGCTCTCCAGGAAGGAAAGTTCCCTCATCAGGAGCACGTCCACCCAGAATGATGCTCAGAGTCGTGCAGAGCTCATTATGGATAAGTTCCATATAGACAGGAGCCACAGAAATATTGGAAGTCTGAGCTACCAAATGTTTCATTTAGGTGCTAATTAGGTTTCTGTGTGCTGCTATTTTCAGAAGTTCTAGTGGTGTGTGTCTGTGCAGATACCAATATTGAGTGTTGAGGGGTAATTCCAGTCAATTTTGGGTTGTTTTTTTCCCCAACTGTAAGAAGTGCTGCTTTTCCTCCTTAGAGCAGCAAAGAATAACAAGACATCGGTACCAGAAGGGTTGAAATTTGTGTCAGTCCATTTGCAGACCCAGGCTGTGTGCTCAGGGCAGATTTGCCCACATACACCATTTGGATCTTTCCTGGAATCCTGCTCCATCCACCTTCAGACATTTCTGATGCCTGTGCTCTGCTTGACTTGGTAGCAGAGTTGTTTACTACTAAATGTCACTAATAATGTACAGCTGGATCACACTGTCCTTCAAGTGATTCATGATGATTTCATGGAAGTGTTTATGTAACAATAGAGCCCATCTCTGAAAGGAATCACTTCCACTTCTTCTGTTTTTGTGGCACTGTGCAGTGGGTACGTGGCTGCAGAAAAAATAAACTCGAGTGAATCCTTAAATTATTAAAACGGTTCTTTGATTTCAGGTGACTTGGAGATCTGAGCTTGTTCCATTTCACAGGTTCAGGCTCCCTGCAGTCCATCAGCTCCCTTTCCAAAGCAGAGACCACTGTCCTGGAGCTGAGCACAATAAACAAAGCCAGCCAGGATAAATTAGGTTGAGATGGACTGGTGCTGTCAGCATGCCCTGATCCCAGGTTGAGATGGAATCCACTTCTCTGTAGAGCTTAAAGGCAGAGTGCTGAGGGTCCAGCAGCATTCTGGGGCTGGTTTTCAGTCCCATTAGTAAGAGTTTCTCTCTGATTTTAAGCCCCAGTTCCTTTGAGGAAGCAGGAGGAGCAGCAAAGAGCTGCATTGCAGGTTTTACACAGACTGAACCTGCTGCACTTTGTTCCTGAGATTTGTTTCTTGTTTGTTTTCTCTTGGAGCTTCAGGTCCCAGAGGTCTCAAAGTCCACTAAGACACATGGGAGGGGATTTTTCTCTTAGGCTGCTTTTCCTGCAGGCCTGGGCAAACCTAGGTGTGAATGAGAAGAGAAATCTGAGGATTCTTCCATCCTTAAGCTTTCCTTCTGTACCTGGGACAGCAGCCTGTGCACCAAGTGCTGAAGTTGGGCATTTTCTGTCCAAGAATTTCTGGAGTGGGAGATCCACTAGAGATTATGGAGATCCTCCATTGATTATGGAGAAAATCTGTAAAAACCAGTTTCCATATTGAAGTATCTTGGGTGTCTGATCACATGAATGGCATTGAAAACATATTAATTATGTTTATGGCTTGGATTCAGTTTATATTGGTGATTTGGGGTTTTGTTTACAGACACTCCAGGGTTCTCTGGGGCCAGGTTCTCACATGGGAATTTGAGGCCTGGGGTTTGTGTGATCATAAAATGTCCTTATTTATTCTGCCCTCAGGCTGCTTGGTTCTTATCAAAGAATGGCATAAACACCTGCAAATTCAGGCTCTACAGAGGCAAACACATGCTAATCACCTTGAGTGTTTTCAGACTACAAAAGATAACTGGCCTGGGCCTGGAATTCTGTGTAGGAATTCTGCAGTCTCCTTACAAAAAATGCTGAAATTAATTGCATGCTCCCAAGGTGTTTGATTTCCATTAGGGATTCAGAGGTGATCTACAGGATTTTGTCAATGCTCTAAATAAACACTTCATAAATATTTGATGCTGTGACTCAGAAAGGCATGTTATGAAATGTGGCCTCCAGGCTCTGTCCACTGAGAAATTGAAAGCAGCACTGGAATAAAATTAAATTTTTATATCTTGAGAGATGCTATCCAATTATAAAGTGAACATTTTTTAAACTTATACATTTGTAATGGGACTGAATGACTTGCCAAAGCAGAGTTAATCACAACTTTGCAATTTCTGTCTGCATTATCTGTGTGCAAATGAAATTGTGTATTATTCCTTTTAATGGCAAAGGAGATATTTGTACAGAATGGTTAAATTATGCTTCCTCATTTTCATTTCCAAATCATTGTTTCCAGCTTAACCCAGACTAAAATGATCAACATTTTAATCCACTTTTTGCATAGGAGTGAAACAGACCATGAATCTAATTTACAAAGCTGTCTCTCCAACATAAATTACTTGAAGAGCATGGGAGGAGCTGGTACCTAATAGTGGTGCTACAGTTTGCAGATCCCTCTTCAGGATTGTTTCACTGTGCCCAAATTTCTGGAACAACTTTCTTGCTTTTTTTTTGTGTGTATTTAAAATAGCTTTAAAATCTTTAGTGCCAAAATAAGTGGTGTTAACTGAACGTTGTTTTCTTAAAAAGAAAAAACAGCAAGCACTAAAACCACCCCACAAAACCCAATAAAAATCCAAACCAAAATGAAAAAAAAATTCCTTGAGCTTTCTGGATTTACTTTTTAAGCTGCTCTCTCAAGTCCCCCTTTGATGAGGAATGGGCCAGTGCTTGTTGTCCTTGAGACACAACCACAGAAGAGGCACAAAACTCCACTGGAACACAATCCCACCCAGCTGCACATTCAGCCCTGGAAGGAAGGATCTTCCCAGAGAAAAACCCACAACCTGCTTTGCTTCCCCTGCAGCTGAATGGGTTTTTTTGCCTAGTTTTGCTGTTAGCGGGGTTTTTCTGCTCTCTGGCTTGTTTGTTTTCAGAGTATTAAATCCTGGAGGCTGCTCCTAGCACCTGGGGACAAGCTGGCTGAAATTCCAGCCAGGATGCTGGAACTGATAGCAGCTGGCACTGCAGCCTGGGTGCCAACAGTGCCTCAGTCCCCAGGGCCTGTTCTCCAAGTGATGCCTCTGGATCTGGAGCTCTGGCCAGCCTCTGCTCCAGGGCAGCCTGCACAAGGCATCACCAGTAGGAATATTGATGTCAGGCACTGCCACCATTCCTCTGCCTGTCCTGCAGGATTTCATCCCTTAGAACCAATCTGAAAACCTGGAGTTGTCTTGCTTTGGCTCACTCAGAACCCTCAGGAATTTTTGAAATGATGGCATTTGGATGAATCACTACAGGCTGCAGTTCCCTTCTCCTTGATGAGTAGACCCTGTACCTTCATCTTCCTTGGCTCTTGAGCACCTAAAAATCACAGAAACTTCAGTGTTTTAAGGGTTGCATGACACTATAGAGGATGAAGACATCTTTTTCTCTTTCTTAAAAGGCTGTAAAACAGAAGAAAGATGGCCTGATGTGGAATGTTAATGCTTAACTACAGAATGTCAGTGACATAAATGCATCATTTTATTCTAATGCTTGTGCAACTTTTAAATTTCATAAAAATGTCCTGATTCTCTGCTGAAATCTCCAGAGACTTGCTGGTATCTCTACTTAGTCTTCAGTGTCTGTTTCTCAGATTTCCTTTGTGGTTTTTAAAGCTCTCAGTTGCTGCTGTTCCATGATTTTTGATACTGAAGTATTTAAATCAGTTTTTCAGAGTATTTTTAGCAACAGGAGCACCTAAAAGATGGTGGGGGAAATAAAAAATGACCATCTGGTTCATGATATGCAACAAACAGTGCAAATAACCAAGTGTCAGGGGTAGTATGGTGGAGCTCAGCATTGCCAGAGTCTGGGGAATGAGCTGGAGTGTCAGTTCTGTGCTCTGGGTTGTCAGCTTTGATTTCAAATATCATCCTGACTGTCTGTGAGGAGTGCACAGAAATCCAAATCTGACTGAGGGGTAACTCCTGCTGCATGTTTATGTCGAACTGCAGAGCCTGAAATTAAATTTCAGCCTGTGGAAGATGCCTTGTTTCTTTTGAGAAAAGGCTGGTCCTGATGTCAGCTGAAATATTGGAAATCTCATTAATAATTGATCTGTAACTCTCCCTGCTTTTCAGAGCATGTGAGGAAAGAGGGGAGATCTCTTTGGAGTGGGGTTTTACCACAAGACAAAACTCCAGGAAGGGAAGTAATGAGGTTTGTTTTCCTGAAGGGATCATTTGATATTTGTACAGCTGATGTGGTGGTTTTGGTCTGTTTTGTTGGTCACAAAAAGCAGGAGCTCACTTCTGTAGATGCTGGGCAGCCCCTCACTCATCCAGCTGCTCAGGATTTGCTTTTCCACAGCTTCCAGGCAGGGATGGAGCCTCCACCTCCAGCGGCTCTGCTGTCCTTCCCCCAGGCATTCCTTGCATTACAACCCATCTGTTTGCTTTGCCTTTCCTCAGATCCATGCTCAGTGAGCCTTTCCAGGTTTGTCTTTTCCCTGAACCTCTCCCAAGGCTTCCTCTTGCTCAGTGAGCAGGAGCATCCTGTGCCACAGCTGCTTTCTGGGTCAGTTGCATCTCTGAGCAGATGGGTCTTTGCTGTCTGATGGTCCAGAGACTTAAACCCACCTGATTTCCATTTCTGTCTTTCTCTGATACTCTGCACTTGGAAAAAGATGCTTTTTAGCAGTTACTGTTCTTATTTTTTACCTCAGAGTTCGCTTTCCATGCAGACTTCACTGGCTGCTTTCTTATCCTGATATTCCTTATAAATTTGGTCCTGCTGGTTCCTACCTAAATAGAGTTGAAACCCTGATGCATTTAATATTGGGGTGAAATAAGAACCACAAAGGGAAACAGCACTGAAACTCTCATAACATGTATTTTAACAATCATTTATATTCCCTGTAAAGTAGGTACAGTTGCAAGTGGTTTTCAAAACGTTTTAATGTAAATATAGAAGGAAATATTTATGAGTTTATTTTCTGTGGAATTCTTTAATGTGCACAGACAGGACCTCTGGACTGGACTGTACTCCCTCTAGCACTGGGAATCAAGTCTCAACTCATCTTTTTTAAGATTTTTACCAAAGCCTCTAAAGTTGTTGTGGACATGTTTTACAAGAGTGTTGTGAGGGTAAAAGTGTTTCGTTTTGGAGCCTAAAGGTCAGGGAAATTTGATTGAATGAGCAGCAACTTGTAGACTTGTTACTACAGTAACTGATGCAAAATCTGCCAGAACACCATGAGAAGCTTCTTCAGTACTTGAAGTTTTGTTGGTCTCTTCTGATTCTTTTGAGAACTTGCAAGCAATAAAACCACAAGAATCAGTCCCTGTGTTTTTATTCCATGCATGCCCTGGAGTTGGTCTGGGCAGAGTGAATGAACACTGCTGATGCCACCAGTGATTTAGCAGTGCTGAGCTATCTCCAGATCCTATTTTAAGTCCTAAAATTATTCTCTGGGTAATGATAATTCTGGATGATATCCATTCCACCCCAGATTTTTGGCTTCTAGTGGCATTTCTAAGTTCATTATGAAAGTAGATTATGTACTGGATATTTTTCAGGTTTGTGTAAGTGAGGAAGATCTATTTGACTGTTATCCAGTTCTGTTTGATGTCCAGATGATTCTTTTTCAGGCTGCCAAGGCTGGTGCATGCCAAGGTGTTGGACATCTCATCTCTCCATCAGCTGTGCCCTGCCCACAGCTCTGGGCCAGACTTTCACTAGAAAAGAACATGTTGTTCTTCCATGTCCCAAAGAAGGAGATTGCCCAGAAGCACATTCATTTGGTTCTAGCACTTCTGTGCCCCATCACCAAGGACTGAGCTGTGGCTGGGTCTGACTCAGTGGCTGCAGAAACCAGAACAAACCAGAGCAGCCTCCTACAGACCATGCTTTGTGCTGGGCAGCTCCAGCCAGCACATTGTAAATCACAAATAATTCATTGCTCAGTCTCCAGAGCACCCAGAGCTCACTCCTCACAAGAATTTTAGTCACTCTCCTGTGTCAGCCTGTACACATCTGGTATTTTCTGCTTGGGGCTGCCATTACTAATGTTTTTCTGCCATGTTTCTGTGTTTCTCCAGCTGTCTAGTCTCAGTCTGGCCATGCATAAAGGTCTTTTTTCTTTGTTCTACTGACACTTTTACAGTGTTTGAAAATCAGCTTGTAAATGAAACAAGCTTTTGCTTGTTTTCCACTGTCCCAGGTTGCCCAAAATGTTGCCCTCAGGACAGATCTCTGTCCTTCCAGCACACTAACCCAGCCTAGAGCAGGGCTTTTGCCAGGTTACCCTTAGTGCATTTACCCTAACAGCTATTTGTTTTCCCTGCTCTTTACTCACAATCAAAACCCAATTACAGTTGTGCCACCACACTAATTAGAAGCTGAATCAGCAATGCTTTATATTCATATTCATAGCTGGTCTTTCTTATATTATCAAAGTGAAAATGGAGCATGTATCTTACTCCTCCTTTGCCAGCAGCTCTCTGGGAAGTTCTGCTGTCCTTTGCCTCATTTGATATTCTGTTCTGGTATCTGCACAATTAAATTCAGGTTTTAGAGAAAACCTCTTGTGTAAAAAGTAAGCATTTCCATTAGCTGCTGCATAATTTTGCTCTGCAGTTTTATGGGCAGGGGGCTGCACATACCATTAGCATATTTTTGATTGCTTCTGTATTAGGAAAAATCCAGCTGTGAGTAAACTCATTTGTTTATAAGCATTTTTTGGAAGGTGTCACTAGCACTGGATCTCCTACTTTGCATTATTTATCTTGGTGTTTTCACCTAGAAAATTTAATCTTCTAATAACAGTAAGTAGTGCTTACATCTGGCTTTTTGTAATGTTTTCTTCCATTCTCCAGGTTCACAGTAGAACAGGAAATTGATCTGAAGGATGTCTGGAGAGGTCTGGGAATTACAGAGCTGTTCAGCAGCAGTGCTGACCTCACTGCCATGTCTGGTAAGAACTTCTTGTCTTGTCTCTCAAGGTAGATGAGGAAATACATTTTTCACCTGGGAAAGTTCACTCTGAGTGTTTCAGAACTGGGTCTCATCAGAGATGGAGACAAAGTGTGATCCCTGCAAGGGGCAGATGCAGACTGGAGCAGTGCATGGCTGCAGTGCCTGGGGGCAGGTGGGATTCACACCCCAGGGGGGTCACTCTGTGTCTCCAGTGCTCTTTGTGCCCAGCATGAGGAGCATTGAGCTGTTGCACAATTAATTCCTCTCCCCAGATACCTGCAAGCAGCACGGGAAGGAAGAGTTTGGAGAGAAAAACAATTTAGTCACAAATGCCACCTGCATTTGACAGAGTTTGAAGTACCCAATACCTTCAAAAATCCACGTGGAAGTGAGATATTTATGCTTTTAATACCTCCTAAAGCTGTTCATGGAGTCACAGCATGGTTTGGGTTGGAAGAGACCTTAAAGAACATCTCATTCCACCCCTGCCATGGCAGGGACACCTCCCACTGTCCCAGGCTGCTCCCAGCCCTGTCCAGCCTGGCCTTGGGCACTGCCAGGGATCCAGGGGCAGCCACAGCTGCTCTGTACTGAAGTGGCACCTGTGTGATTTTTGGGTTTTTTGGCTCCATGTGTTACTCCCCAGCCATCCAGCAGCTCCTTGGAAAGGTGGCAAATCCCTGTTCTCCACAGTCTGAGCCTGGGACAGTCACACCTGTGTGCCTTAGCCAAAGCACTGCTCATAATGCAAACCTTCCTCCCTCATTCACAGGGGAATATTTGTGATGTTCATGGCCTTTCACTTCTGCTAAGTTTGAAATATTCTTTATAGTCTATCATGTAGCTTATTCCACTCTTGGTTTGCCACCTTCACTTTTCCAGTGAGACTGAGGAAAAACTGGCTTTAGCTAATAAGAACAGAGTTGAAATAAATTAAAAACCCCTTTTTCAAAGAAATAGCATTTTTCTGAAGAAAAACACCTTCAATTTCTCTGCCAGCTCAAAGAAAAGTCAGCTTCCCTCTAAATTCTGGTCTATTTATAGGAAATTATTTACTTGAGAAAAAGCTCCAAGGAGAATGGAAAATGCACAGGGAGCCACAAAGGCAGCACCTGGCTTTTATTTAGTTCCATGTAAAATTCATTTATATATCAGGGACATCTACTTATCAAGAGGTTGGCAGAAAGAATCACGTGCTTGTGTCTTAATCCACGTGACTAATGATTTATTTAAAGTTTTGTATTTCTGACAATGGTACTGTGCAAAATCAAAACACCACGTTCTGCCTGACTGAATTAACTCCTCTGCCATTTAAAGATTTACTTGTTATTTAAGTATAGAGCAGTGTGTAGAGAAAATTCATGAGTGTTACTGTAGCTTTTCTGCTTTTCACTGAAAATAGGTTGCTCCACCTGGGTATGAAAAGGTTTTTTTGTAAATTAGGAATGAAAAAATGGTTTTAAAGTAATGTCTTTGATTAAAACCCCGCAGTTGATGCTGTCTAAATGAAGTTTTAAGTAATTAAAATACAGAATACTTTCCTTCTTTCTAATTTTCATAATTTAAAATATGGATGGAGGAAGGGAAAATAAGTCATGAAGACAAATTGTTTAAAGCTGACTTTTACAGACACCTGAATGGGACATCAGGAAATGGAAGTTGGATGTTTATGTGCATCTCAGGGGCACCCCTCTGGAAAACCTGGCACTTCATGAGGCCTTAAATGTAGATATTTCAACAAAATCTTTAACTGGACACTTAATTTAGGAAGCTACAAATCAAATTAAATCTAAAGAGATTATTGAGAAATTTCACTTAAATGTAGATATTTCAACAAAATCTTTAACTGGACACTTAATTTAGGAAGCTATAAATCACATTAAAGAGATTATTGAGAAATTTCGTTGCATTTACAAATCCTCTCCTCCTGCTGTCCTGTTGCTCTGGCATTGCTGCCAGGAAAAGTCTCCTGCAATTTCAGCAGCAACCCAAATCCTGTCATCAGCTGCAGGCAGATTGGTGAGCTCAGCAAAATTCTCTGTGGCTTTAGTGGATATAAACCACATTGCAGGATTATTTTTCAATATTCAGAATTTGTTGCTGTTTTCCCTCAATCTGCAAAATGGACCCAGGAGGAGCAGCTCTGAGCAGCCAAAGGGAAAGTGTTAATGCAGGTGCACTTTGCAGATGTTTCTCCCTGGCAGAAATTAGGTTCTTTGACAATTGCCACAGGAGAGTAGGAGGACATTCCTGTTGGGCTGTCAGCTCCCCTGCATTCTGACTCTCACTTGCAGAAAAGACTTTGACAGTATTTACTTGCATCTGATTCCATCAGGTGTCCAAAATAATCTTGAAACAACCTCTGCTGTTTGAGGTGTTACCATTGTGACTTTATCACATCATGTAAATTTGCTGCTTGAGTGTTTTAACACCACTGAGGACTTAGCATTGAACTAATTTCAGTGCTAAAACTCCCCTTCTCCTTCAAATGGTTATAATATTTCTGGCTGTTTTATAGAGCCTTAAAAGCAGCTGCTTTTAATGCAAGGTGACCTGGGTGAGCAATGAAGGGATCTCAGTGGCTTCCTTCACAATATGAAGTAGTTAGAAGAGCATCAGTCCAGTAAATAACTCTTGGAAGTCTTGACTGACATCCGTATAATTTTTCTGGGACAGCCTAAGCAAGAGGAGCCAATAAACCCACATGGTATTTTTTAAAAATGAGATTTGCAGAGCAGCCAGTTGGCAGCTGAGTGGGAGTTTGCAGACATATGGAGATAGTGACAAATGAAGTGTGGTGCCAGCAGAGTCGTGCTCATTAGGGGGCAGCTCCAGCTCCCTCCCACTCCCCAGGGGTCAGCCTTCCTGCACAAAGTGAAACTTTGGCACCAAATCCCCAGGGGGCTTCCCTGAGATGTTCACAACCAAGCCAGGAAATCCACGTTTTCTTACGGAAATCCACATTCAGAGAAGCTCCTGGGGAGAAATGAAGTGATGGGAGATGCTCAGGAGAGCCCCACCTTGTCCCCTGTGAAACCCATGAGGGAAGGTGGATAATCCTGAGGAGATGGAGCATTGTCCCAGGGATGGGACAGTCCCAGCCTGGAGCAAGGGAAAGGCTGCCTGAACTCTCAGGGACAACATTATGCTTTTCACAGGAAAATAGATTCATTCACTGCAGGGAGAGATGAATGAGAAGGATATGATAGTAGCAATATAAAGAGAAGAATCTAGAGAAGGTAATTTGGGATGTGGAATTGCTCTTTTCATCATCCAAGGACAAAGATATCCAATGAAGTGAAAGGCAACAAATGGAAAACAAATAGAAAGTGCTTCTCTCATGGAAAACTTAACCACAGGGATCTTTGCTGGATGTTCCTTGAGACTGGCAGGACTGAAAAAATGAAATTGCTCCAGAGCAATCAGAACTCTCTATACTGCACTGAATAAAGGCACTCTGTGTGTAGAAACTTGGGTTAGGGTATAAGGCACATGCTGCTGAGAGGATATTTTTCTCTTGTAAGTGTGCTGCAGTTTTCATTTTCAGGGCTTTTTGTACCTTCTTGTGGAGCAGCAGTTCCATAGCTGGTGCAGTGGGCTGGGCTAACTGGGTGTACTGGATCAGTGGCACTTTTTGTGTTCCTGTCAATTTAAAATGTTGGTTTTAATACTCAGATCCTGAAAGCTTTCACAAGTAGCAACCTTTTATACCTGATGGCAAATGGTAGCAGTGTTTGTGCTCTCAGAATTAGGGACTCTGAGCCCATCAGGTGGAGACCAATCTTCTGAGGTGCTATTTCTCATCAGGAATACTCCTTGGACTTCCATAAGCACCACCAAACTATGCAAAATAAAGCACTTGGAGCAAAAATGTGGAATATTTTTGTGAGTATTACAGGGCACAGGATCAGGCTTCAGTGCTGCAGTAAGAAAGAAGTGATTAAAATACATGATTAGGCTAAGTGGGTGTTTCCCCACTTGTTATGTTTTATTGAACATAAAAATGTGTTTGGATTTAAGACTTTTGCTTAATGTTAAAGAGAAGTGGGTGCTGCATGTGCCATGTTCCAAAGGAACAGGGTGGAAACTCAGTCCCAGCTCTCAGGGCAGCCTTGCTGAAGGCTTGGCACTGAAGTCTAGACCTGGTACCAGTTTTAGCAGCCTGGTCTGTGTTTTACTGCACACAGTCCCTGAGGGGATGATTTGGGGCTTTTGTTGGTGTGATTGAAGTGCAGCAGCTGAACTGGGAGGTTTAATTCAGTGCTGAGTGTACAGAGCAGCAAATGAGCTCTGCTGGGGAAAGACTTGCCCAGCTGCTGCTCCTCCTGCCTTTGGCTTGCTTTGCTATTACAGCTACTGAGTATTCCAATAGAGCTGATCCTTCAGCATCCCACAAAAACCTGTGAGACATTCACTGGCTTCAGCAGGCTGGGACTCAAATTAAAATATTGACAGAGAAGGATGGAACTGAAACAAGATTGAAAAAAACTTGTGGTGGTTCTTGCAGTAAATGTTCCTCTTCATCTTCTTGTAAATATAATAGAAGAAGAAAGAAAAGACCTCATTTTCCTGGAGGAAGCCTGTGTTGTACCTAGTGCAGAAATGATTTTTTTTATGCCTACAATGTCATAATCTTTTTTTCCCACTAATTGTATTTAAAATCTTGTGTCCAAGGGCTGTTTTTACCCTCTCTCTATATATACTGTACTTGGCTCTGGGCAGTCCTGAGCTGTTTTAATATCCATGGTGTAGGAGAGCACTACAAATCTGAGTGAGGTAAACAGTGGTGTTAATAGGTATTGGCAGAAGGTGTTTTAATGCAAGAAAGTTCTTCTCCTTCCCTGCCTGCTGCAGAAGGTGGATAATGGTGTTGGGGTTTTGGCAGTGTTTGGGGTGGGTTCTTTAAATGCTTCAATCTTGTTGTTGAGCCACTTGAAATATGTTCCCCTTTCCTCTGCAGATAACAAGGAACTTTACCTTGCAAAGGCATTGCACAAGGCATTTCTAGAAGTTAATGAGGAAGGATCAGAAGCTGCTGCTGCCTCAGGTACCTGACTGAAAAGCAGAATTAAATCAAATGTCTGGGTATTCTGTGCTAATTAATTTTTTACAACTGATTTGCTGTACAGCCAGGAAAGCTGAATAGCAGCATGGAAACACAGCATAGCAAGTGTGCTGCTTGCAGAAGAGAATTTTGAAAATCAGAAGTGTTGGCATTTTTGTAACGCGTTTTACCAAGAGTTTTGAGCATCCTGTGAAAAACCTCGTCTCTATTTTCTGATTGTCAGGAGAGTACAGACTGCAGTTTATGTTTCCTTCGTGGAACTTCAGCATTCATCATTTTTCACCTGCTAATTGAGATGGTCAGAGGCATTTGATCCAGCAGAGTTAGGAGGAGATGAGGGTGGTTATGGCAGCTGCATTTTAATAAACTCATGTCCAGAAAAACAAGGTGGGAAGTGCTGAATGCACCACCAGAGCTGTCCCCTGTCAGTGCTGGGGGCTGGTGCTTGGTTTACAGATTGTCACATGAAAATAAGTTACATTTGTTGCCCATATGTATCATTAGGTGATTTCTAATTGCCTCTGCTTTGCCAGTTTTTGAGAAAAGTAAGAATTTCTTGCCAGGTCTGGGTTGAATTGTGCCCAGCTGTCTCTGTGGACATGCTCCAGTCTTTATGAACAGTGGAGTGAAAATTTAGAAGTAAATGAAACACTAGGAATTAGAAATCACATCCTGGAGAAATCCATGCACCTCCAAGTAAATGTAACAAAGGGCCAAATTCTGCCTGATTCACAGCTGATTTACCTTCAGCTCTGCAATATTTAAAAACACCAGCCAAAAGCTGCAGGATCAGCCCATTTAATTTTTGCACATTCCCTGGTTATTAAGGGCTCCCTTTCCCTCTCCACTGTGTGGAACAGGTCAGCAGAGCTGGTTAATGCAGCGCACTTCCCTCTGAGTGAGCAGGACTCACAACTCCTCTGAAGGTTCTGCATCTTAAAATTTATATGCTGCTCCCTCAGCCTGGGAAATTGCAGCACTCTGCATTGTTAATCATTCTTAAAGCCAGAATAGGCAATTACTCTGCAGGTCCCTTTCCTTTGCAGTGAATATTTTCCTGCTATTTTTGGTGTTGAGTGTGGGACTTCAGGGGCTGCACGAAGGTGAAGAGCAGGAGAAGGGGCAGAGTTGTTTGACAAGTTGCCTGTGTTCTCTTTCCTCTAGGAATGATTGCCATCAGCAGAATGGCAGTGCTCTATCCCCAGGTCATAGTGGACCATCCCTTCTTCTTTTTGGTCAGAAACAGAAGAACAGGTGAGAATATTGCAGACTTCTCTGAGTTTTTCACAGCATGTCCTCCAGCAGTCAAAGGAAAATTGCAAGTTTTGACCAATGGACTGGGCTTGTATTGTGAATTTCCCTTTTTTAAGTTTGTTTAAAATACCCAATATTGAAAGACTCACCTTTTCCATGGGCCTGAATCTTTCTCCAGATAAAACACCCAACATCTGACATAAACCTGAAAAACACTCACAGAAAAGAAAAATTCACCATTTCTGTTGTGAGAACAAAGTGTTACTGCCCTGGGTATCATAATCATTGCACTCCCTGAGAGCTTGGCTGCAGTCAGCCCAGTGAAATGTGTTCCCAGTACCAAATGATTTGCATAATGGAGGGACATTGCAGCTGGGAATAATTCTGTTGTGCTCTCCAAGTGCTCAGTGGCAGGTGAGGGATGAGAGCAGCACTCACCAGCAAAAGGGGCAAGGATTAAGTAATTCCTGAGTCTGGTATTTGTAATTTGCTGTAGTGATGTGGATGTGACTGGGTGATAAAACACTGCTGTGCACCCACAGGGTTTTTATGGATCTGCTTAGGGAGAGTCACTTGTGGGACTTCATTCCCACAAACTCCATCCCAGCTGAAAGCAGGCCAGCAAGGCAGGATACCAACTTTTAGGGGATTTTTAACCATAATAAAGTTAAATATTCTTACTGTTGTAGGCACATTAGACAGGAAATATATCTGGAGAAGGGTATCTGGCCTTTATTGCTATTCAACATCCAGAAATCTCCCCAAAAAGAAATGCTCAAATCAGGACAGAGTAGAACTTGTTTGCTTTGGGGCAGTTCTTAAAATTGCAGAACCCTTGTTGCATGTAGAAAGAGGAGCTGCCAACAACTGTAGCTAAAGCCTCAAAGCCTGTTACTAATGCAGAAATCTGGGGTTGGAAACCTTTTGAAAAAATCCTGTTGGTTGCCCTTCCTCTCCAGACAAGCCCAGGTGCTCAGGTTTGGTTGCTGCCATCAGACAGGGCTCCTGAGCCATTTCCTGTACCACGTTCTGAGACATTTGTTCCTATAACAATCACACAGCACTGCTCTAGAGCTTGTTGTTGGTATTCATCATCTGAAATCCTCAGCTTCTCCTGCTTCTGACACCTTTCCCTCCTTCCCCTTTCTCCACAGGTACCGTGTTGTTCATGGGAAGGGTAATGCACCCCGAGGCAATGAATTCCAGTGGCCATGACTTCGAAAAGCTTTAACTGCCACCAGCTACCAGAAGGAGGAGATAAGCACATAAAGTTTGAAGTTAATATATTTAAGGTTTGCTGTGTTTTCCCCCAAGACACTGTTTCAAAACGCTTTTGGATCTAACTGTGTGCAAGTCAGTTCCCAGAGGAAAGCTTACAGTATTAAAGTAATGGTTCTGTTTCTGTCATTGTGATTGCCGTGTCCTTAAAATAAAGTTGTGTACATGTCAACAATTGTTTCTTGTTCTAGTGAGTTGTAAAGCAGAAAACCGCAAATCCATTATTTGTAATTTTTTTACAGTCCAAAGACTGACTTGATCAATGAGCCAGGAGCAGAATGTGTGCAGCTCTGGATAATGCAAATGGCAAAGCTTGGTGGGCATTTCTAGAGCTGAAGAAGCCCCTGTGGACACTGTGATCTCACCTGTCCCTGGCAGAGCAGGCACATCACAGCCTGCGATGCGCCGCTCGAGCAGAGAAAACTGAACAGACTGAGCCCAGTGGATTTGATTCTTGCCTGTGGTAGACTTTGTGTGAACTGTCCCACGTGATTCTCAAGTGCTGCTTTTCTGGATGCTCCTGCATGTGGCTGCCACTGACCCCCTAAGTGTTGATGCCAATAAAACCCGATCGATCGCATGGATATCCGAGACCTGTCAGTGTAGAAAGCTCTGTGTGTGACTGAAGTAAAGGAGTTCACTAGTAATGCCATTTGTGTGGACATGTTTTTTCTCCCCCGCAGCACTCTTCAATGTCTCATGTCAGGGCTCTAGAATGTTCTTTCTCATAAAAAAAAAAAAAAAAAAATCCCCACCCCGACTTAATTTTAAGTTCGGTTCGTAAATAAATATCGAAAGGAACAACATCATCCTTTTCATTTCCTAACTTTTCCTTGAGAACAGACTGGCAGGGAGGAGAATGACACCTAGCACAAGGAAATATTAGCAGGGGAATTAGTTGCTGTTTCCATTTGGAAGAGGAGCAGTACCCACTGTCAGCAGAGAAACATATAATTATTTCCTCCCTCACTGTGCAAAATACAAAAAGAACGGGGGTTATTAAAAAGGTGAGAGAATAGGAGAAAAGGAGGGAGGAGCTCCTTTGAAACAGATCATAAATACAACCCTTTGGATAATAAATGGGCTTTTCTCAGTCAATAGGAGTTTTCTCTTTGGAATTCTATGGGAACAAATGCATTTTGGCTGAAGTGCAGTTACAGGCTTCCCTGGCAATCACTCACTTCAGAGCAGCAGGGATACTGCTCCCAAAGTTATTGATGCAAGGAGAACTTCCAAAATCTGACACATTGTTCTCTCTGCTGCTGGTGCAGCTCCTGCAGGTCAGACCAGGACCCTGGGAATGCCCCCTTGGAAAAAAGGGCTTTGGAAAACATTTCCAGCCCTGCCCCCTGGAATTGTTTCACAAATGGGGTTCCTGAGTGTGTTGTTGGTGCTTATTACCTTGCTGTATTATAGTCTGGACTTGGTAAGGCAGCTTTTGTATTCAAATTTAGATGAAAATGGTAATTTTAGCTGAAAGTGTTATGCTGGGGAGGGAAAGGGGAGTGATGCTCAGAAGGAACAGGCTAATTTTACTAAGTACTGCCTCACTGCAGGTAAAATGAGTTTGCTGTGGGTTACACAAGGACTGGTTCATCACATTTAAATAACTCTGTGGACATCCCTTCATGTCTGTAGAAGTCACCATATGCTGAGGATCTCCTGTGGGTTATCTTAGGGGAAACTGTTTTTTAAGCTTTTGAGCATTTTGAACATCTTTTTCATCTATTTTTGTGGTGTTCATTCTGACTGAGAAAGACATGAGAAGCCTTCAGTCGTGTTTATTTTCAGTCCACCAAAAGCTCTTCCTGACCAATTTTGCCTTTTCTTTGTATCAGTTCCTTGCAACATTCCTTACTAAGGGAAGGGCTGAAAACAGATTGGAGCTAAAGCTTTGAATTTTGGAAGGACAGCTGCCAGGCAGAAGTATTTATAGAGGATATCAGGCAAATGCACTGATTGCCCCTGCAGCTGGATTGAGCAAAACTACAATGGAATGATGCAGAACCACAAATTCCAAATGAAACTCCCAGGATTGCCTGAGTGGGCACACAGGAGAACCAGCAGGAACAGAAATGCAAACACTTGTCATTTCACTTGCTGCTCTCCCAGGCCTTACAGATTCAAAATAACCTTTTTCTCCTTCTTGAAATTGAGAATTACCTGGTTTGCAACAACATGAATTGATTTATTTCCGTATTTTTCAGTAGTAATAATATCTGAAGTATTGTTGCCAGTTCATAGGTATATGGGTGCTGATCCATGATGGTTTTTACTCCATATTTTGTATAATGTTCCTTTCAAAGGTGCCACTGCTTTTTCACTACAAAACTAGCAAAATCATTTTGGGTTTTAGCATCCTTTTTTTTTGGTAGGTGGAATTTGTCAGTTGTAGCTCATCTATGAGTTTAGGTGTGTAGCCTTCAAGTGAAAACTGTTTTGTGTTGGAGGCTCTATCAGAAAACCAATCAGTGACACTTCTGTAATTGTGCTGATGAAGTGACCCAGGTGTGACAGTGCTGAGATCCTGCTCAGTGCAGCTGGAATTGAGTTGCCTGATGGGATCCTCTTCTCTTCCTTCCACACATGCTAGAGCCCAGGTGGGAATGCTTTCCAGAGCTGTTCTTGGAAAGATTTTCCCCAAGAATCCCTTCAGCAGTGGTGCTACTACTGAAAATTGATTTATTTTGCTGCTAGGATCTCACTTGTGCGTGACCTTGAGCACCTGAGGGTTTTTGTGGAGTCTGTATTCAACCAAAATTTGTCATGTTGTGTGAGTTAGAATGGGTTTGTTGCTATTTCAAGCATGAATTTTCATTCTCCTTCCACAAGCCCTGATAGTGGCAGAGTGAGCTTTTTTATCAGTGTGTAGCAATCAAGAACATGAGATTCCTGAAAGAAATAAGATCTTGGTGTTACACCAAAGACAAACCCAGACTTAGTCAAGGCTCTTGTGGCTAATTTTTATTTGTCAGTGGTGGACAGAAGAAGAAACCACAAGATGTCACTCTATCCTAAGGAGCTGAGAAGGACTTTCCCTTTGACAGGAATCCTGTGGGAGTGTTGCAAAGCTGGATATCCTGAGCAGAGCTCAGGCACAGGTGGATCTCAGCACAGTCAGTGGGAGATGCTGAGTTTGGAGCATCATCAGCCCCAGTTCCTGGGATTAATAATCACAGATGAGGGAACAAACCCTCAAATACCTGCTTTGTGTTGCAAACCTCACTCTGATCTTGGTGAGGGATTGCTGGAGGGAGTTCATTGCTCCCAGGGGAATTTTTGTCCTGCATGATGCCTCGTGTGCTTGGTGTGAAATGGCAGCAATGGGTTGTTTTTAACCTGTCCCACGGACAGCCCCAGAGCTGTGCTGGGGTTATTTCACTGCTGCAGGACCCAGAATTTCTTTTCTACAATAGAGAAATAACTGGGATTGACTCATTGATGTGCTGTTGTTCTCTTTTGGTTGTCTCTTAAGTTTCCCCCTTCCCTCTCTGCCTTGCAGAGTCTCTGGAATTCCTGCCCGAGCAGATTCCCTGGCACAGTGAGGCTCCACCACTCTCAGGGCTTCTCCCTGCCTGGGGAGGAGGCAATATTCTTCCTAAAATAACAAACGGTGGTAACAAGCCCGTTCCTGAGTTGTTCCTGTCCCTTTTATTAGGCAATGCTTGCTTTTGTCGCTGCAGTGTAAAACAGGAATGCATGGATTGAGAGAGATGGATGAGGCAGCCCCAATCCAGCAGGCAGGAGGAAAGCAGTGTCTTGGGAGGGAGCTGCCTTCCCTCCTGAGCTGCTCTGCATCCCCTGGCACAGCTGGGGAAGGGCTCCGGGTTGATTTAGCTGGGAAAACCGTCTGGATTTCCCGAGGGTTTGGATCAGGGCTCCAGACAGACAGACAGACAGACAGAGGCTCTGGCTGCTCGCTGGGACCTCTGGAAGCTGCTCCAGCTGGGGCTTCAAGCTGGGCAGGCTGAGGGCTGAGAAACGAAGTTCCACATGAGAAACCATCCTCAATGCACAGGGGGGATCCTTTGGAACTCATTGACGCTCTGTGCCCGTGGCCCCCTCCACGAGGGCTTCTCAAATGACATTCCTTTCATACAGCGCTGCCTTCCAACAGCATCCACGGGAAGATGTCTTTTATTTTACAGCACTAATTGGAGGCCCAAGTCATGGGCCAGTTGCTGTGGGCGTGAGGCAAGCAGAATGAAAAGCTGGGCAGAAGAAGTGAGGGATGGAAGTGCAGCTGGAATTGCAGCGTGCAGGCAGCAGTCGGGGCCGGGGCTGCGAGGGATGCCAGGCAGGCAGGTCATGGAGAAAGGTGGAAAAGATAAATGCGTGAGCCCAGACACAGATATTGATTGGAAAATTCTGGGTCTGCTAGGAGCTGGCTGAGGAAAGCGGTGGAATTGTTCCTGCAGCTCAGGAATGGAGCCCATTGCCTGGGTGTTTATCTTTTCAGGCACGCTGAATCACAAAAGGAATGATGTCTGTGATATCAGGCTTTGCTGGTAACAAGGTGTTTTACTGGCTCTCATAAGCACACACCCTCCCTGGGGAAGAGTGATCTTTTTGGACAAACTGAGGGAAAATTCCTACAGAAAAATCTATTCTGTGTTTGTGTAGAAATGCTTTTAAGTAAGGAAGGGAAAAGATACTGAGGAAATCTGGGTTGTGTCTAAATAATATTTTTATTGTTCTCATTAAGGGGTTGGAATTGCCTGTGGAAAAAGATGAGCTTCAACCTTTCCTTCAAGCATTCCATTGCTACTAAAAAGAGTTTGGAGCCAGTCACAGTTTTTCACTCTGTTTACTCTTTGTTAAAAGTCATGTTTTGAACCAAAACTGGAATCTTTGCATGTCGTAACTGGGTGATAATTTGGCCTGAAGAGAGTGAATGAAATATGTTAAAACTTAATAAGAATTAAAGATATCAGGAAGATTGCCCTGAGACCTGTAAGGATCATGCTCTGGGCAATGCCAAATCTCACTGGTCACCAGGAGTGTGGCACAAAAAGTCTGTTTATTTGGGGCTTCTGTCACTGTATTTTGTAAATGTTTGTTTCTAAAGGCAACAGCCAAAAAGTCAGCAGAGCTTAACACAGGAATAATAACATTTCTGGAGTTTATTACAAGACAAATTCTGGTCTCAGAATTCTTTGTCTCTGCTGGGGAATGTTCTCCTTGGGCCAGCTGCAGCCTGGAGTCAGCAGTGTGCAGTGACAGTCATTTTGCAGGAGCAGGACCATGCAAAGCTCTGCTGCCAGCTCCAAACCAGGGATGTGTCTTCATCAGCTGAGCTGCTTTTGGCAGGACACTTGGAACGAGCTCAGCTTCAAGGTCTGTTCCAACCCAAACCATTCTGAGATTCTGTGATTCTGTTAAAGCCCTCAGCAAAACACAGAGAGGTAAAAGAGGCCAGTTCTGCTGCTGCTGCCTGGTTTTCATCTGTCTGCATTGATTTTTCCTTCACAGAATTTTCTCCTTGGTCTCTACAAAAAGAAATTCAGAGACGGTGTGCTCCAGTTTATAAGCTCACTTCAGATTTTTTGATCAGAAATCATTTGTGAATCATCCCAATATTTCAGAGCCAGTCTCATGCTGCAGTTCCATGGAGAGCAAGGTGACCAGGCTGACTGGAGCGATTAAA